GTAAACATTATTTGAAGATGTAGATGTTAAAACAACCGTAATCAAACGACATGTTGCATGTGATGATGGTTTTTTTTCTTTTTTCTTTCTTTTTTTTTTTTTCCTCTTTTCTTTTCCATTCCTTTTTGGACTTTTTTTTTGCCCTTTTTGGCCTCCCCCTCCTCCCCCTACCCTTTTTTCCTTTTTTTTTTTCTTCTCTCTCTCCCTTGTTTTATTTTGTTGTTTTTTGTTTTTTAAACCCTAGCTTATTGTGGTGCTTATTAAATATACAATAGAGAGATACGGGATGTATAAACTTAGTAGGGATGCACCTGTGATTAAACGATATATTGTATGTGAAGATGGGTTTTCCCTCCCCCCCCCCTTTTTTCTTTCCATCCTCTCCCTTTCCCATTGTTGTCTATGTAACAAAAAATAAAAATAATTTAAAAAAAAACAAAAAAAAAAAACTATTGGTCTCATTATTTTTTTCCGCTTGTGGTTCAGTATGGCTACCACAATTTTCAAGTAGATAATTTATATTTAGGCATCCAGAATCAACTGGACAAGGGACAACTTTCTTATTTATAAACCAGTTTCCAGTCATTTCAAAAGGTGAATAAAATCTACAAGTACATACTGTAAAGTTACATGTGCATCTGTGAAGGAGAAAGCTTAATGGGTCATTTAATTTTATGAAGAGAGTTATATACGTAAAGTTAGATGGAGCATTCATGGATAAATGAAGCAAATTTTTCAGCCCTACCTATTATAGCAAATATATACTATAGTCCACTACTTTGAACATTCAAGTCTATTCCATAATGATCAAATTCTGAATACTTTACAAGTAGAGTTGCCACAAAAGACATTTCAAAATTACCAAAGGGTTTTGAGGCTGTTATTTTCATGATTCTTTAACTCCCATAACTATACTTTTAAAAACTGGACTATGAGGAAGATTGGATTGAAAGGGAGAATTGAATTTATAATACAATACTTGTTCTAAAGGAGATAGATTTTAAATTGATGAAAGTGCAGCTGATTTTTTTTAATGACATATTTCAGTAATAATAGGTATCACAAAATACAGTGTGCCTGATTCCTGGGACTATGAACAAATATCTTTCAAGTTAATCTATCTCTGGTTATCATTTGTTGCTCTTCAAAGGACAATTTATTTTAATATCCATGTTCTTTGTTTCCTTTCTTCTTCCATTTTCTTCAAACTCACCAGATGTTGACTTTTCTAGACCATCATTTGCTTGTATCATACACCCTAAATATGTTGATTTGTATTTGCAGGTTATTGCCTCAAAGACCAGTCATTATTTTCTCTAGGAGAGATTGATTTGGTCTTTTTTGAAGTTCTTTGTACTCTTAGTAACTGTCTGCAAATCCATAATTTAAAGACTCCTTTACTCTCTCATGCTTTCTCATAGCTGTATTTAATACTATGAAAAGAACATTCTGTGCTTTGTTGTTACAAATATGCCTATTTTATATATGTTTCCTAAATTTCTCATTGCCTTTGACCCTAGGATTAATTTCTTCTTTACAGAATACAATCTATCTACTCTTGAGTCCCATAAAAAACAAAGCAATCATCTATATTTACTTTTTCTCTATTAACTGTAAGTTCATTAAGCATCCTAGTTCAGTGACATGCGGTGAGGTTTATGGCTGGTGAGGCAAGCGGGCAAAAGCCGCCCACCGCCCCGCCACTATGTCGGACATAGCGTCAGGCCGGCTTTTGCCTTTAGCACTGGGCTGGCAGGGCAGCTTTTGCCCACTTTCAAGAAAACTTTCCCTGGAAGCTTTGTGGGGAAACCCTGCAGGCCCCAGGAAGGAAGGGTCGGGGGCGGCCGGGGAACCCCTGCGTGGGTCATGAGAGGCATGGAGGGGATGCGGGAATGTGGAAGGGACTGGAGGAAGAGGAGGAGGAGGAGGGGGGAAGAAGAGGAAGACTCCAGAGTTGGCTTACCCGTCCATCCATCGGGTGGCTCAAGTACTGCGCTCTGTCTGCTTGGCCACTGCTGCTTGCCTGCCTGGATGCAATCATGGAGCCCCATTGGGCAGGGATGGCGCTGACCTGGAACTGGATCGTGGGCGGGTGGGCGGCGCAAAGCAGGGGAAGTGACAGGCGGCGGGAGCAGGAGGCAGCCAGCCAGCCAGCCAGGGGCGATGCTCCGGAGCACCCCCTCTGCACCGCCTGTCTGCTTCGACTGCCTGGGAGCGCCCTTGCTTTCTTGCCTTGCTGCTCCCCTCTGCGTCAAGGCACACCGTGGACAAAGAGTCTCCCCGGGGGATCCCGCTCAGCTCCCCAGAGCCCGGCCTGGGGTTGATGATGTCTGTGGGGCTCGGATGGGAAAGATGGTCACTCCCCCCGCCCCCAGGTCCTTGCTGGTCTGCCAGTGTGCAAACCTCTTTTACAACAACCCTCGCTATGTAGGACAAGCAGGGCGCCATGATCCTCCCTCCCACCCTTGGTGATCAGTCTTCCAAGTAGTCATTGCCCTGGATCTGCAAGCATGAACAGCTGGGGGGAGGGAGGGGGATGTGAGTCAGGCTGCAATGAACAGCTGGTTTCAGACAAAACGGTCATTTCGGCCGCAGTTTTGGATTGCAGAGGGGAGCAAAAAAAATGTCATTGCAAAAAAAATGTCATTTCGCGTTAGCCCAGGAGGTGCCCAATCCAGCAGAAGCTTTCTTGAAAGCGGGCAAAAGCCATCCTGGCGCTAGAGGCAAAAGCTGCCCTGCCGCTATGTCCAAAAGCCCTGCTGCTATGTTCAAAAGCCCTGCCGCTATGTCCGACATAAAAAAAGTGCCAGCCCGCATGCCAGCAGAGGCGGGTAAAACACACACACAAACACACAAACAAATTACTTACAATAATACAATTACTTACAAATTACAATAATTTTGAATCCCTCCCCCTCCCTCCGACCCACATACCTTTTCCAGCTGTTTCACAGAGGATTTCAACTCTGCTCTTGTCTGCCATGATGAAAATGTAAAAATGTAAAAGAAANTCCTCGCCCGGAGGCCTTGGCGGCATGCGGAGAGGCTCCCCGAGGCCCTGCCCCGCCCGCCGCCCCGCAGCAGCCGCCCGCCCAGATGAACGCCGCCGCCGGGAGCAGCTACCCGATGGCGTCGCTGTACGTGGGGGACCTGCACCCCGAGGTGACGGAGGCGCTGCTCTACGAGAAGTTCAGCCCCGCCGGGCCCGTCCTCTCCATCCGCGTCTGTAGGGACATGATCACCCGGCGCTCGCTCGGCTACGCGTACGTCAACTTCCAGCAGCCCGGCGACGGTGAGGGGCAGCGGACCCCGGTTCCCGCCCCCCGAGGCCTCCTGCGAGGGATTCTGGGAGGGGATCCCCCTCCCACCCCTAAATACTTGCTGAGGTGGGAGTAAAACTATTGAAGGACCTCCAGGCCCAGATTTAGCAACTCCTCCTTCCTCCTTCCTTCTTCCCTCCCTCCCTTCTTCGTTTCCTCCCTCCCTTCTTCCTTTCTTCCTCTCTCCGTTCTGGGACAGGCTTTTTACACCTGTCTGGCTGCGTCTGGTCTGCTGCCCTGGCAGGGCCTCCAGGTGGGCTCCTTGGCACCAAAGGGATGTGGCTTCCCAGTGCCACCTTCTGGGGTCTTCCCAGCCAGTCCGTTGGTCGCACTGAGATTCCTGCTGGTCTCTCCAAGTTGGGCTTCTGGTCATTGCCCATTCATGCTCCTGTCCCTCAAAAGGTCTGGAGGGTGGTCATCCAGGGACCATGTACTGAACAGGGGGGTGTTTTGAGAGAGTGCTCTTTCAAATGAAAAGCATTTTTATTTTAGTAGTTTTTAGGGTGTGATCTTGCCCGGCTGTTAGGATAGGAAGGGCAGGTTTGGAAATGGTCTTTCATTGATGCTGTAGTAGGAACCTCCCAAAAGAGTCCAATGATTTATTGGAATGTGGAGGATTTCCTCTTGTGAGCTGCTCACTCCCTGAGACAGGCAGAGGAGTCTTGATTCAGCTTTTTAATGAAGAGCCTCCTCTGATTGCTTGAGCACTGGAGAAGGAACATGTAGCTAACAAGGCTGCTTTCTAGAGAAATGTTTTTGTGTGGGTATATAAATTTTATCTTTGTGCCCAATTGTGAGTTTTAGATTAAAAATTGATTCTGATTCTAAAAAGGGTGCTCACACAGTATCATGAAAAGGTTGTCTCTAGGCTGAACGCAAATGGATAATGTTATTTTGGAACATCTCCAAACTCAACCTCTTAAGAAGCTGAGATTCAGGGTTGAACTCCATCCGCTATCAGGAATTAGGTCACGCATTGCAATGTGGGAGGTTTTTTCCTTTCAGCAGAGCATTTTGTGTGAACTCTGCCAATGTGGTATGTAAATTGTGGTTTATAGCTTGCGTTCCATTTTGGTCATTCCCGTATAATCAGAAACATAAGGTGTGTTCCATGGAAATTCAAAAGATTTTGTCCTGGGTAATTCTATTCAGCCTTGAAATGGTCTTTCGTTAGCCATGTGACCCATCAGTGACATAAATGGATCAATATATTATTTCTTGTTCCACCATAGTAATATGACTTGAGGAAACTGTAGACTGCTGAAAGGTGGCAGTAAATTACTTGGGAACCATCATAGATGTCATTGAGGTATGGAGTCCTGACTGATATTATAATATACCTGTGAGGAAAGTTTCTTAATTCAGAAGATGGGATAAAGTTTTATATATGCATCCATTATCAGCATACCTAGTTTCTGATAGTGTTTCAGAAAGGTAGAACATTACACAGTACTGAATAACCTCTACCATATCTCTGCCAATGCTCAAACCAAAACCATCTTTATTTTAATAGTTTTTATTAGCAGGTAGCTAATAAAAACTACTAAATGGAGAAATGCCTGGAGGTAAAGATCCCCCCAATTTTCAAGGTTTTTTTATTACTTGCTTCTGTTTCAAATGGCCTTTTCCTTTCAGTTGCAAAGAGATAATGCTGGAGTTACTGGCAACTCTGTCTAGAACACCCCTTCCTACTATAAATAAATGTTGCCTAATTTAACCAGCTGACTAAAGTGCCACTTGAAATGGATGCTACTTTGGATAAAGAAAGACAACTGAGCCTTGGAGGTCTTCTAGTCCAGGGGTGTCAAACTCACATCATCACAGTGGCATCACATGACCCATTGGGTCTTTTTCCCCCTTTGTTAAACCAGGTGTGGGCATGGCCAGCGCATGACACATCCAGCCCTGAGGCCGGGAGTTTGACAGCCCTGTTCTATCCAACCCCAGCTCAAACAGGAGACCCTGTACCAGTGATGGTGAACCTTTTGGGGACCGAGTGCTGAAACAGGAGTGTGTGTGTGCGGGGGAGCACTGGAAACCAGAAAGCAGTTCCCAGAGCACATGCACGCATGTAGAAGCTGAGCTTCCGGTTTCTGGCACACATGTGCACGCAAAAACCAGCTGGCCGGCATGCATGTGTGTGCCAGAAACTGAAAGCTCACCTTCCCTGTGCAGAGCTGTCCTTCTGGTTTCCAGCACTCCTGCACACGTGAAGACTAGCTGTACATAATCCGGAAGAGCAATGGGCGATGGCTGGCATGCCCAGAGAGATGGCTCTGTGTGCCACCTCCGACATACATGCCATAGGTTCGCCATCACGGCCCTCTACATTCTGGACAAATGGCTATCCAATTTCTTTAAAGAGCTCCAGTGACGGAGTACTAACAACCTCTGAAGCCATTCCACTAGTTAATTGTTCTTATTGTTAAGGATATTTCTTAGTTCTAATTGGTTCTCTCCTTGATTAATTTACATCCATTGCTTCTAGTTCTGTCTTCAGATCTTTTGGAGAATTGATTGGCAGCCCCTGGACTATTGGAACACTGGTCTCCTGTTGTCCCTGGTTCTCCTTTTCACTATAGACATACCCAATTCTTGCAACCATTCTTCATATATTTTAGCCTCCAGCCCTGTAATCATCCTTGTTTCTCTTCTCTGCACTCTATCCAGCATTTCAACATCTTTTTTATATTGTGGCGACCAGAACAGGATGCAGTGTTCCAAATGTGATCTTACCAAGGCATTATAAAGTGGTACTTCACATTATCTTGATTCTATCCCTCTTGATGTAGCCTAGGATTGCATTGGCTTTTTGGGTATCAGTGGCATCCCAATCTTTAGAAATCCCAGCCAGGCCTGCATTTTGTCTCCTCATCTGCAACTTATTACTCAAGCTGTCTTTCATTGTCACTAATGTAATTGATTTAATTTAATTGTATCCTTTAATTGTATAAGGCAGTGAACATATTCAGTGCACCATCCTCCTCTTATTTTCTCCACGACAACAACCCTGTGGGCTGGGCTGAGAGAGAGGGACTCACCTAAGGTCACCCAATTGGCTTTCATGACTAAGGAGGGACTCAAACTCATGGTCTCTGGCTTTCTACTTCGGTGCCTTAACCAGACTGCTGCTGCCCTTGTTAGTTTTTCTGAACTGTCCAGGCTGACCTGAGCAATGAATGAAGTCCTGTGTTGGCAGCAGGCATTCCCTCGTCACCCTCTGAATCCCTTTCTTTCACAGTTAAAGGTACTTCTTGGCGTGACTCCTAAGCTTTGGAGTTTTATGCACAGAGTCTGGTATGCATATGTCACCGTATGTGCTGCTCAGTATAAAAATAGAATCCGGAAGGATGTGGCATATCTGAGTGTCTCAGTTGCAGAAGGTCTAGAAAGTGACACACTTGCCTGAAGTTGACTTGGCTGCGGTAGAAAGTTACTTAGGATAGTCTGCTTGCAAAGAAAATGATGAGCTTTGAACATGTATTTATAACATATTTGTAATTGCCCAAATCAAATACTATGATTCTGTATAAAATAATTTACCTAAATACCCCCCCCCAAACATATACCACTGAGATAACTTAAGTTAAAAATTGCTCAGGACTAAAATAGGCTACATCACCAACTGCTAGTACTCATCCTGACCCAAGCACACAGGGCTCAACGGCCCTTTGAGAGGCCTGCAGACCCAATCTTTATTGGGCTTTGGGGGGAAAGATAGTTCCAAAGGGCAGGAGTTGGTACCAAGAAAGCAGGCTTCCTGACAGGGTCTCAGAAAGGAGATTCAGAATGTATCCCCACTTTGGGAGCAGGCCAGACCCACTCACTGAGATGGGAGGATAGAGTGCATTGCAGTAACCCAGTTGAGAGTTGGGTAAGGTGTGAGTGGCTATAGCCAGTTTTCCAGTGTGTGATGCGGGGGGGGGGGTATGCAAGGGATATCAAATCAGCCTGATTGGTCCAGAGACTGAGGGAATTTTTTTGCCACACCTCCTCCTTCTCTTGGCTCCAGTTTCCTTCCGTCTTTGGTCTAAGCAGACTGTGTTTTGGCTCCTACTTGAGGAAATTAAACTTAAATTTAAATTTAATGGTGTTACAATTTGAATAATTGGACTAGTCTAAATTCTAAATTGCTGAGCGCTGCCTAAAAAAGGGGCCGTTTTTCCCTTGTCACCTGGAGGGGGTGGAGAACCAGATCGGCGTCATTTCTCCCACCTGATTGCCAAGCAGAGCGCTGTCTGGTCCCTGTGAATTCGGGGGTGGCAGGCTGCAATTCGCAGCTCTTCAGGAGGTCTGCTCTGGCCAGAGGCGCGCTGGCTGTTTGGTATGCAGTGAGGAGGCAATTTACAATCGTATAGTGGTGATCCGGTAAGCGACGGCCATCTTGGGTGGCCACTAAGCGTGCCACAAGGCGGTGGCCATCTTCGGAGTGGCACCAATTGCTGACTACTTCCCCAGCATTGCGGCTTTTTATCGAGGCTGGGGCAACTTGCTGGAGCCGGAAGCAGCTGAGGAATCTCCCGCAGCCGCAATGCCTGAGGGCTTTTCAGCGGCATTTGCAGCAACGCCAGATCGTGAGTAGATGGCATCCACTAGGGCTGAGGCAGGGCCAGGCTCCCCAGGGGAGGCCAGGACTCTGGGACGGAGGAGTTTAGTTTAATTTAGTTTAATGAAATTTGTATGCCGCCCACTCCCATTGGGACTCTGGGCGGCTCACAGGCAAGATAAAAGCATTTTTAAAAATATTAAAATAAGAAATACAATATTAAAATTAACAC